AGTTACCTAACACTTGCAGTCACAGGGGTTACCTGTTTAACTGCTACATTACACTATTTCTACCCTTGTAAAGTTCACTAAAACCCCAGTACCCATCTTTTCCAGCATCTTCTCTATCATCCCTTACTAGCCGCAACTCGGAACCATCGGTCTTATTTATCCAGACTACCAATCCAGATGGCCTAGTATGGTATACTTCTGTATACTTTTCCTTCGGCAAACCTGGTGGCCTGGTTGGTTATGTGCTTCTCTACACATATTTGTTATCCGGTTTTAATCTTTGGTTCCTATGAAGGTGTTTCATGGGCTTCAACCGGTCCAATGATACCGTCGAAAGTTCATGCTATCTCTTTACTTGGGAATTTCCAAGTGGGTTTCCGTCACCTCAGTTCCTTAGTCTTCTACGCCCAGTAGACTTATCGTGAGTTTGTACCAAAGTCTTATGCAACACCGGTGACATTCCTCTATGTACGTGTAATGTTACATTTCACATAGATGCCTTGAGCTCCCAAAGCCGGGGGAACCCAGCCTGGTGTACCTGGGTAACAGCCACATGAGGCCAACCGATCGACAGAAGACAGTTACTGTAATACAGATATAATTTCCAAATTTCATCGTAGGTAGGATTTGAACCTTAGACCTGCCACTTGGAGGATGACAACCCAACCACTACACTAGGATCGTCATCCTCTGTCTATTAGCTAATTTACATATAATAATCTTTATTTATTTATTGTACTACTACTTGCTATACAAGTTTTTGTTTTTAGCATGTTTTTTATTTGTCTATCATGTTCATAAACTTTCTATAGCCATTTTGCTTTCTTGATGTTTATTCTTATTTCTTTTGCTTTAGCTATTGTTTGACATGCTAGGTTATTTTTTCAAAACTTTTAGCTTCTAGTTTATTTTTATTATATCAGATGTTTTTTGTTAGATCTGCTTTTTGGCATCTTTAAGCTTTTAAGTCTTGTTAATTCATCTAAACTGTCTTGGCTATTAAATCTTAAAAAGATATTACTAATTTGCTTAGTTGTTATTTTTTAGCTTAGTGATTTGCAATTGCCTAGGTCTTTATGTTCAATCATGCAATTGCTTGATATTTTCATCATATTGTATTTATGTTTAGTCAAGCATATCAATGGTTGGTGTATTTTATCAATTGTCCTTTTTGACATTTTTGTTAGTTGTAAGAGATATCCTAGATTAGAAATTATTATTGCATTGTTTATACATATTGGGTGATTTTTGGAATATTCTAAAAATTTTGGGGTTCAAAACAATTATTTACATTTAATAGTTACACAATTTATATACTCAAATTTTAAAATAATATGTATAAATAAATTATATATAACAAAACAATAAACTCAACAAAGCGATCTGTGCATACAAATCAACTTTACCATTTCTATACTTGACTAAAATTATTAGTTAACAATAGTTTAAAAAAGCTATTTTTATGGGTATATAAATATAAATTAATGAACTCTACTTCTAAAGGCTTTGGAAAAGTGAGTAGAAAAGGTTTTTAAAGATGAGTAAAAAAATGTTAAGTTAATAGTTACTTAAATATTTTATAGTTAGTACAAGTAGCAATTAAATTTCTTACTAATGAGATGTATTAGTTATATACAGTAGCTAGTTTAAACTATTGTGAAAAGTTTATTACATTCAAATGCTTTATATACATTCTATGAGTTATATAAGATAAACAAGCAATTTATAACTTTTAGAGATGCTGTAGGTTTTCTCTTTGCGGCATTCAAATAATGATCATATTAAATAAAAATATTTATCTAGTGCAAATATAATAAAAACTTTGTAATAATAATTGCAATAGGCAGATAAACTATGTATTGTTAAAATAGTACTCAAATTTTTATTTCTACATTATAGCAATAGTATTGTTCTTAAAACTAATTTATAAAGACTTTAATTCATCAAGAACAACCGAAGATAGCAGACTTTGAACTATCAAAGCATATGATAAGATATAAATAATCTAAACTCAATTGCTTATAAAATACCAGTATATGTCGAACCTCAATACTTTAAGATATATCAAATTTCGATGCTAAACATAATATGAAATCTGATATTGAAAATTTCAAACAGAAAATTACTGTTCCAAAGCTTTGAATCAAACCAAAAAAAAAAAATGAAGAACTGACAGAAAATACATAATCACAATATATTTAACTTTACAATATTGAGATAATGGTTCTGCTAACCCTATTCAAAATCTACATTAAAATATATTAACATCCTATGCAGTTGATATATTATGCATTAAAATTCAGAGGTTTATTAGAATTAAGATGGTTGTCTGTATTAGATAAGATTATAATTGGACATTATTTTTAAGGCAATTTATTTTTATTGAAACTTTGAGTCAACACTATTCTATTAGAACATTATTTCAAAATAATGAACCTTTTCAAGTTATCAAGATTATATAAAAACATATGTAAATTTAGTTGGGAATAACTAGCATAGTGTTAAAAATTAAAAAAATGTCTCAACCTGAGATCTTTATTACAAATATTGATTGAAACATTAGAGTTAACAAAGGCACTATACAAGAATATCACACTGGCCTTTTAGAATTTTAGTAAGAATAATGTTGGATTAGAAGAAAGAACAGCATTAGCAAATAAGCTTTGTTATAATTAATTTGGAACAAAAGAAGAAAAAGCTTACAAGGACACTATACTGAATATTTGACATAATAAACTTAGATTTGAAGACAAAGCATTAGAGATGCTCCTTGCAAGAACATCATGCTAATTTTTTTGGATCTAAAATATAAAGTACATAGTATTATTAGTTATACTACAATGAAAATCAAATACATAAATAAAATAAAACTGCATATGTATCAACATCACAATTCATATATGTACATATATAGTAACTCTATTTTACTTCTTATTGAGTTATCTATACTAAAGGTGATACATTACTATCCTATTAGCCAATCAGAAGTCATTCTATATGCATATGCACATACATATAGCACTAAAATCAAATGGGTATATAAATAATATTTATTGTCCAGAGTGAAGTAGAGGACTATCAGTATACAGGTGAACTAAATGCAATGTCATTCCATTATAATATCGATCACTTGAAATTCAAGATGTCTTTTTTATAAAAATTTGGTGCTCTGAACATATCGTGCAATGTATGTTCCTAATAACAGACTATTAATATGAACAAAATAACTAGTCTTTTATACAATGTAAAGGTAAATTCTTATAAATCCAAATTGTGAAGTTTAACTAAATTTTATATAACAAATAAATTATTATGTAGGTAAACAGATAAATATTTATATGCATAACATATAGCACTTATGCAATATGTACATAGTGAGGTTTTTGTTATAAACAAGTTATTGTTATTATGTATATATAGTTATATATATACTATACTGTACGTACAGTACATATGTATTCAGATAAATAGAAAATCTTGCTTAAATCAGATAATTTTTTTTTTGTGTACTAATGCTAATTACAGAATTATAAAATTTTCAACACGATTCTTTTTGTTTAAAATAATTGCAATAGATTAATAGATTTAAATTTTGTTTATGATGATATCTAATTTTTTTTACAAGAACTTGATTATTCATATGAAGAACTTGATGGGCTTTATGATTCTTTGTAAGAACTTGATAATTCCTCATAAGAATTTAATGATTTATTACATGACTTCTTACAAGAACTTGATTCTTTACAAAAGTCCAATGATTATCTACAAGAACTTGATGATTATCCTAAAGATTCTATTATCTTGTACAAAGAGAAAAGACAAACTTTTACTTATAAAATTATCAAAAAAGGCATTTACCTATCAGTCCCTACTCTCAAATATACTTTAGCACCTAATAAATATAAAATACCTGACAATTATATTGTAGAAACTACCTAGAGTCACAAAAAAAGCAAACAGACTGTTAAGTTACAAATTAACTATATTTCTAGTACACTCACCTTTTATGTCTATTTTGGACCCAAGTTTCAAAATTATGTTGTTTTAAATAAGTTGTCTAGTCATGTTGCAACATTATTGCATCAGGTAAAAAAAATATATGTTGTTATTAAACTTTAAGATTAGCATTACTAATATTAAGAATTTATATTATATAGCAAATTATACTTAATAAAAGCTTAGCAACTTCTGGAATTCTTTTATTTGGTTTACAATTAAAAAAGTTAGTTATAATCAAATGAGACTAAAGCAAGCCAGAACATTGAAGCCAGTAGAGGCACTTACAAACTCTGCACTTACCAAACATGCTATTAACTTTTCTAAAACAATATACACAAATTTTCAAATTTGTACAAATTAATTTTATTATTTAAATGATAAACCTGTATTAGAATTAATTTGATATTCAGTAAAAAAGCATATATATGAAGTTGACTATGGTGCTAAAGATCCAAAAAGATTGAAACAAAAACAAGAATCAGTTTGTTGAATACAAGATGATAGTTATATTTCTCATAATACTTATGGTTATCTTGCAGCAATTAAATCTTATTTACCTCGAGTATGATCAATTTTTAAATCAAAAAAACAAATTACACAAGATATAGCTAAAGTAGTTCCAATATCTGTAATTGATATACAGATACAAGCTCATGTAGATTCAATTGAAGAACCTGATATTACCAAAACAGATACTGTAGAAAATATTATTTAATCAATTGGAAAATGTAGATATAGAAGCATTATTAATATTCTCAAATTTATAATGCCAAAATTAATTAAAAAACAAATTCTTAACTTTCTAAATATTAGTATTAGAATTACAGATGATGGGCATAATGTAGGGCATAAGGTCAAGCATGTTTTAATTATATTCACTATACTTGATAATTTAGCAAATATTCACAAACCCGAACATTATTATACTATTATTCTTTATTCTGGTGCTGAAGACTACAATTCTTTAAAAAATGCAACTAGACTACTCAATAATGAATTGCATGAACTATCTAATAATAGTATTATTGTTAATAATACTAAATAGAAAGTTACTATTTACTTTAGTAGTGATTGGAAATTTTTATCTTTTTGTCTTAAATTTAATTCAGCAAACTCTACCTATTTTTGTTTATGGTGTACAATATCTAAAAAAGAACAAGTCAATTTAGATCAAGAATAGACAATTGAAAAAAGAATAGAAGCATTAAAAATAAAACCAAATACATATCCTAGACACTGGCAGTATCCTTTATTTGATATGATTCCTCTTGATTATTGGATTGTTGATGAGCTTTACATTATGCTATGGATTACAGATCAGTTGTAGAATCTTATATTTGCTGAAATTAAGGCTATCAGATTGTTTAATAATACTACAAGGGAGATTATTATACAAGAAATAAACAAAATTAGCATAAATTTTCAATTTTGGAAAGATCACAATACTAACAATTAGTTATATACTTCCTTAATAGAAGATGATAAGATAAAGATTTTGCATGAATTTAATCTTTATGAAATTTTTCCAAGATCATGTGCAAAGTTAATTCGTGAACTATGAGACAAATTTTATACATTATATATTTCACTTCACAATCATGCTACTGATCTATATCAATTTAAAACTCAAGCCAAAGAATAGTTAGAACTTTTCTTAATACTATCACAGAGCAAAGCAAATTCTAACAATTTTTATCAAGGTTTATACAAACCAGCTGATATCACACCTTATATGCATGTTTTAGTTTACTACATTTATGAATTCATAAGCAAACATAAAAAATGGGGAATGTTAAGTTTTTCTTGTGGACCTGTTGAAAAAAAAAACTATGTACAAGTTTTAGTTTTTTTTCAAAAAATGCTAAAAGATGATGAAAATTTTACTAATAGAAAATCAGCAATTTATGAGATTTTAGAGTATGAAAATTGACAACTGGTTTATCTACAAAAAAAAACACCTTTGATATATAAAAAACCTTAATATATCTACATAAAATCTAAATATTCTTAAAAATTTATATTCATTATTTTACAATAAAATTTCTTTGTAAGATTGCTTTATTTTCTTTTTGAATATTTTATAATCATTACAATTTATGAGTATGATCACTTTGATCTTAGTATGTAAGTTATACAGTAATTCTTATTTATATATAAAATTTTAGTTAATGCAAAATTTTACTGATATCTAACCTCTAGCATTTATAAAGCTGTAACAAATAAAATACATGAAGGTGAAGTTTAATCTACTTACTCATCAGCCAGGAACTATAATTTAAATGCCTAATCTGAAATAAATTATGTTTAACCAGTTAACATAGCTAATATATACATCAAATACTATGAAACTGTAATTAGTAAATTCCTTTTAATAATTAGATAGCATTCAAAAAATAGTAAGGGGTTTTTGGCAATTTGGTTAGATGGTGTACAATCTCTAGGTTAAAGTGGAAAATGTATAAATTTTTGAGTGAAGTAAGTTACAATTTGCTTTATGATTTATTGAATACTATTTGTTTTATTTAAAAACATATTAACTTATTTACAAGTTTAAGAATAGTGAATTTAAAATATATGAACTAGCTCAAGACACTATAACAAATGAATATATAAGATTTTAAAGAGAATTCAGAAAGATATGCAAATTGCAGCTGATACAACATATTTATTGTTTTGTCAAACATGTAACTCTTAGAAAATGGCACAAGAATTATTAAAAAATTTCACACCCTATAAATATGTAATCAGAGTAGATTCATTTAATAGATTGATAACATTCAAAAAGATTAATAGTGATTTGGCTAAGTGTTTTTAGCAATATAGTTAGATAGTAAAAGAATAATTCCAAGTAGATTTGAAGAATATATACTATTATGTATGTTGCATGGCTCTCAAAATTTATTGACTTTTTGGTGAAGGTAAAATTTGTTTTATTATTTATTGCATAGCATTTTCTTCATTTAAGAGCATATTCATTTATTTACAAGCTTTAGGATTTTAAACCTAAAGTATATAAACTAACTCAAAATAGTATAACAAATGAATATATCAGATTCTAAAGAGGTTGGAAGACATGCAAATTACAGCCAATACACTCAAACATGTAACCCTCAGAAAATGCACAAAAATTATTAAAAATCTTACATGTAATCAGAGTAGATTCCCTTAATAGATTGGTAATATTCAAAAAGATTGATGAAGGGGATTCGGCTCTGCATTTTCAGCAATGTAGTTAGATGGTAAAAAATAGTTCTGAGTGGATTTGAAGAATATACACAATCACGTATGCTACATAGTTCTTATCAAAATTTATTAAACTTTTTGAGTAAGCTAAAATTTGTTTTTATTATTTATTGCATAGCATTTTCTTCATTTAAGAGCATATTCATTTATTTACAAGTTTAAGAATAATAAATCTAAAGTATATGAACTAACTCAAGATACTATAACAAACAAATATGGGATTCAGAAGATGTGCAAATTACAGCTGATACAACAACACTTTTATTGCTTTGTGTCAAACATGTGACCTTCAAGAAATAATACAAGGATCATTAAAGAGTTTCATGCTTTAATGTTCAAAAAATTTATAAAGAAGTTCGGCTTAGCATTTTTAGTAATATGATTAGATGGTAAAAATAATAGTTTCAAATGGATTTAGAGAATACACACAATCCTGTATGCTACATAGTTCTCAAAATTTATCAACTTTTTAGTAAAGTTTTATTATTTATTGCATAGCATTTTCTTCATTTAAAAGTATATTCATTTATTTATAAGTTTAAGAATAATAAACTTAAAATATATTAACCAACTCAAGATACTATAACAAATAAATATATCGAGGACTTGAAAGATATGCAAATTGCAGCTAATACAATATATTTATTACTTTGTGCCAAATATGTAACCCTCAGAAAACAATGCAAGGATTATTAAAAAATTTCACACTTTATGAAAATGTAATCAGAGTAGATTCTTTTAATAGATTGATAATATTCAAAAAGATTAATGAAGGAGGTTTTGCTCAGCATTTTTAGCAATGTGGTTAGATGGTAAAAGAATAATGCCAGATAAATTTGGACTTTTTGGGAAAGTAAGTTAAAATTTGTTTTATTATGTATTATGTAGAATTTTCTTCATTTAAAAGCATGTTCATTTATTTACAAGTATATGAGCTAATTCAAAACACCATAAATGAATATATAAAATTTTGCAAATTGCGGCTGTATCAAACATGTGACCTTCAAAAAACAACACAAGAATCATTAAAAAATTTTACACCTTATGAAGATGTAATCAGAATAAATTCCTTTAATAGATTAATAATGTTCAAAAAAATTGATAAAAGAGGTTTGGCTTGGCATTTTTAGCAATGTGGTTAGATGGTAAAAGAATAGTTTCAGGTAGATTTAGAGAATACACACAATCATGTATAATACATGGTTTTCAAAATTTATTGACTTTTTGAATGAAGTAAGTTAAAATTTGGTTTATTATTTATTGCATAACATTTTCTTCATTTAAGAGCATATTTATTTATTATAAGTTTAAGGATAGTGAACCTAAAATATATAAGCTAATTCAAAACACTACAACAAACAAATATATAAAATTTTAAAGAGGATTCAAAAGATGTGCAAATTGCAGCTGATATAAACACCTATCGCTTTATATCAAATATGTGGATCTCCGAAAACATGAGAATTATTAAAAAATTTTACATTTTATAAAGATGTAATTAGAGTAGATTTCTTTAATAGATTGATAATGTTCAAAAAATTAAAGAAATTTTCAGCAATGTGTTTAGGTAATAAAAAAAATAGTTCTGGGCAGATTTGGATAATACACATAATCACGTATGCTATCATGTATAGTTGCAATTAAGACATTATCTAGTTTACAAAATATTTAAAATAAGTAAGTTAAAATAATCATTTATGACTTAATATAGATATGTTATTAATATTATAAATTTATTTTATTTTAGCAAGTTTAAAAGTTACTAGTGTTTAGACACATCCTAATGTCTGTACTTTCTAAAAATGAACTTCTTTAGTGTCATAATTTATATTAATTTATGACTGTTCTTAAGTGCTTTCATCAATGCTTTACCAAATGATTTAATTAGATTATAAAATTAATCATAATTATTTAGGTTAAAGACATAGAGTTGCAAACACCTTTAAATACAATAAATTCTTAGCACAATTGTAATAATTAAGCAATTTTTTGATCAATAACAAATTATATTTGAGAAATGTTTAAGAACACTCATAGCAATAAATAATTTTGTAATTATAGTAGTAGTTAGGATATATTAATGATATTAGATTAATGGGCAATGTATTTTTTTGGTAGGTAATTATTTAATAAAATCAATTACAAGTGATTTTTTGACAATATTAAATTAAATTAGAATAAATATTAGAATAAATACATGTACATATGGGTGTGGGTCCCATAGCTTAGCGGTTAAGCTCCCATATCTTCCACAGTCAAGGTCAATAGTTCAAGTCTGGCTGAAAACAAAATTGAAAGATTTTAGCTTCTGTAACCTAATAAGGAGCCTATAATTGAATGCGAAGCTCTATGGTTAAGTCCAAGTGCAGTACAATAATGAAAATAGGAATTTCCAGAAGGAGACCCAATTGTGAAGTGCAGGCACTATGCGTAACAAGCGGTTGTTACAGAAGGTTACAGTTATGGAAAGATTGCGCATGTAAGTCCTTTA